TAAGAAAGAAAAAGGAAAGGAAGGATATATTAAGTACCTGTAGTAAAGCAACTGTTGAATCTGGGTGATGGGCATGCAGAAAATATTTTATTATTTTATCTAGTTTTAATATTTTATTTTATTATTTTATATAGTACTTTATTGTTTTTTCATTTCTTCTTAAGAAATATTTATTTATTTATGTATTTATTTATTTATTTTAGAGAGAGAGGGAGTGGGGTGGGGAGGGACAGTGGGAGAGGGAGAGAATCTTAAGCAGGCTCCACACCCAGCACAGAGCCCCACGTGGGGCTTGATCTCACAACCCTGAGATCATGACCTGAACTGAAATCAAGAGTTGGACACTTAACTGACTAAGCCACCCAGGCGCTCCTTCTTTCCTTTTTTTCTTCTTAAGTAAACTCTAGGGCACCTGGGTGGCTTAGTCGGTCAAGCATCTGCCTTTGGCTCAGGTCATGATCCCAGGGTCCTGGGATCGAGTCCTGCATCGGGCTCCTAGCTCAGCAGGGAGCGTGCTTCTTCCTCTCCCTCTGCCTGCTTATCCCCCTGCTTGTGGTCTCTCTCTGTCAAATAAATAATCTTAAAAAAAAAAAACCAAAAGGGGCGCCTGGGTGGCTCAGTCAGTTAAGCGTCTGCCTTCGGCTCAGGTCATGATCCCGGGGTCCTGGGATCGAGCCCCGCACCGGGCTCCCTGCTCAGCGGGAAGCCTGCTTCTCCCTCTCCCACTCCCCCTGCTTGTGTTCCCTCTCTGGCTATGTCTCTCTCTGTCAAATAAATAAATAAAATCTTTAAAAAACAAAAAACCCAACTCTACACCCAACGTGGGGCTCAAACTCATGACCCCGAGACTGAGTCGCAGACTCCACCGACTGAGCCAGCCAGGCGTCCCTAATTTATCTAGTACTTTATAACATTTTCCATTTTCAAAATGGACGTGAATTAAAAAGTGTATGTCAAGGATGCCTGTGAAGAGTTAAGAAAACCGTTTCATGACAAATAAGCAGAGAAAACATCGTTGCATTTATAAATTATTATAGTGTTACATAATTCATGATTTTCAACGTGTGTGTAATCAAATTGATAAACTAAATTATATAAATAGACATTTGTCAGTTTATCTACAGCCCTTCAAGTTATAGCCACAAGTTAGTCAACCACTGAAGTTCTCCTCTTTGGGAAAAGGCCCACGTGTAAATAATAACCGAGCTTTGGGAGGCCATTAGGGTGGAGGGTGGATGAGGTTTTGGCTGGAGGCTCCAGAGATGGTGAGGGGCCCTGTGTGTCCCTGGGACAGCTAAGGGGAGAGGGCATTGGAGGGAAGAAGCCCCGGGGTGGAGGGAGTCAGTTAGCAATAGACTGCAGCAACACCCCCTAGTGAGAAACCAGGCAATCATCACCCTTCACTCATTCCAGCTCCTTAGCTCCTGCTCTCAGCCACCTAGCCTGAATTTGTAGATTCCTCCTTCTGTATTGTTCTAAGGAATTTCTGGCATCTCAGCTTCATCTAATGAAGACCTCTATTGGGTTTCAATTATCGATCAACCAACTGTGCTATTAGAACCATTCTCAGCTGTTGGAGCTGGGACATTAAAACCCCAAAGTCTTTTGGGGTTCACTTATATTTATAAATTCACCCAAGTTTAATGTTATGTTCCTTCCTCCCTGACTTAACATGTCTAAGTTACATGTATATTCTCTAGGTTTCAGCTCACTTATTAGCTAAGGCTTGCCTTTTTTTTTTTTCCTTTCCCTCCCTGCTTGCTTGCTTTCTTTCCTAAATCAGTAAATCACCTCTAGGGTCAGACCATGGGCTTGTTCCCTGGGGCACTTTGGACTGGGCCAGATCTGGAGACCAATAAAGGATAATGATCTCTGAGGGGAATCAGCATCTCTTTGCAAAGTAGCTTCCTCAGATAAGGTCATGACGTGCTTTCCAGGGAAAGCAGGGTCAGTCTCATTCAATGGGAGGAGGGGGCTGCATCGAATGCATCTAAGGCAAAAGAGTTTCACTGAATTTTGGATTAGGGAATTTAGTCATCTGCATCCACCCAAACACCTCCTTCTTGATTGCTAAGTGCCACTTGTTTCCATCCAATGCACCTGGCCAGCCTGTGAACACAACTTCTATTGCAATTATATTATAATTCAGCAACCCACAGTATCAGCTCTGTCCAATTTTTGGCAACATAAGCCCTGTAGCTACAAGAGAGGAGATAAATTTTTTAGAGTAGTCAGGAATGGCCCTTGCTTCTCTGGTCCTGTCTTGAGCTGAGAATTTAAACCCTAAATATTTCTTTTTTGAAAGTCTTCAGTGCAATTATAAATAGGCAGCCTACGTGACAGTCCTTACAGTCCTCACTCTCCTCTAATGGTCAGTGTGACAGCCACTCCATCCACCAAAGCCTATCTTTATTAGGCACTCTCCCCCAGGCAACAATACTTATTGTGATAAGTGATAACTTCTGTAACTACTTTTTCCCTGTGCAAAGTAGGCTAGATCTGCATCACCTTCAGATCTAATGCCTTGACCCCTTGGAGGTCAGTTTCCTGCAGAAATAGAAACCTTGCTGGGCATTCTCTTTAAACTTTTTATTGTGAAAAAAATGTAGGTTCACATGCAATTTTTTTTTTTAAGATTTTATTTATTTATTCGACAGAGAGAGAGAGAGACACAAGCAGGGGGAGCAGCAGGCAGAGGGAGAAGGAGAAGCAGGCTCCCTGCCGAGCAAGAAGCCCGATACGGGGCCCCATCCCAGGACCCTGGGATCACGACCTGCGCTGAAGGCAGACGCTTAACCGACTGAGCCACCCAGGTGCCCCTGTTTTTTGTGTTGTGTTTGTTTGTTTGTTTTAGAGAAAGAGAGAGCGCGACTCAGCGAGAGCAGGGGTGGGAGGCCGTGTGAGAGGGAGAGAATCTCAAGCAGATTCTGGGCTGAACTCAGAGCCCATGACCCTGAGATCATGACCTGAGCCGAAATCAAGAGTCATCAAGAGTCAAATGGTCAACCGACTGAACCACCCATGCGCCCCGGTTCATACGCAATTGTAAGAAACAATACAGAGCAATTCCACCACCACCCTTCTTTACCCAGTTTCCGCCATGCTCACATCTTGCAAAGCTAAGGTACCATCATATCACAACCAGGATATTTACATTGATACAGTCAAGGTACAGAACATTTCCATCCTACAAGGATCCCTCACGTTGTCTTCAGACTTCTTTTAAGCAGAAAGGGATTTCATACAGAAAATTAAGTGTTTCTAACATTATTGGAGGGGTTGAAAGAAGGGTCTCTAGACTGGTCCTCTAGTCATGGCTCCCAGAACACCATAGAACTCACCAACCAGAGGATATTACTTCTGCCACAATCAGGAAGATGAGGAATCAAGAAGTCATCACCGAGATTATTGCATTCAACATATTGCCAGCAAGAATCCAGGGATTTAGATTTGGGTCTAGAAGCTGGTTCCCAGGCACTAGAATGCTGAGTTTGGCTGTCAGCATCTCACAGATGCTTCTGAACACTCATGAAGCTGGAGACTAGCCAGCTGCTGAAAACCCTCACATCTGCATGACCTTGCTTGCCAGCAGCAATCAGCTAACATGGGTAGGACAATGGCTATTGCCTCACTTCTGCCTTCCATCCAATCTTACCAACTGGCAGAATCCATCTGTATCTGGAATTCTAACTGCCACTGAGTCCGGAAAATGGAATTTTAACTTTTTAGATTCTGGAAGGAATGGATGATGAGTCCCAGCTGACTACATCCAACACAGATGGACACAGAGGTAGATCTGTGTCCTTTGTATTGGGAGGACAAGAGGGGTCCTATCAGATTTGCTATGATTTTCCTGTAAAAGAAAGGGCAAAGTCAACTGCTGCTGAGCTTTTTAGTTTCCCTACTGATTGTGAAGGGAGGAGTAGTGACTTGGCCAGATGGACATTTTTTGACGTTCCTCTTCAGGCTAGTGATCATGAATTTGTAGGGAACAGTCTGTCCCTTTGGGTATTTTGTCCAACTGTGCATGGCTGTTTGGGTGCAAGCAAAGAGAAAAGGTGCAGCTGGATTTACTGAGGGTTGGAAAGCTTACCAAATCCGTGTGACAAAAAGACAAGGGAGGAAAGGAGTTCAGGGTGGTGGCAAGAGTGTTATGAAAACCCATGGGAGTGGGGCGCCTGGGTGGCTCAGTCATTAAGTGTCTGCCTTTGGCTCAGGTCATGATCCCAGGGTCCTAGGATTGAGCCCGCATGGGACTCCCTGCTCAGCGGGGAGCCTGCTTCTCCCTCGCCCTCTGCCTCTGCACCCCCCACTCCCCGTTGTGCTCACTCGCTCTCTCTCAAATAGATAAATACAATCTTAAAAAAACAACAAAAAACCTCATGGGAAATAAACAGGATCAGAAGTGAAGAAAAGAGAAAGCCCACGAACTGTGAGGAAGTAGAGGTGCAGAAAAGTTGGAAAGAGGCCACAGAGGGACTGTTCAAGTCGGTACACACGTTTGTTTCCAGCACCCTCGTTCACACCCAGGCTAATCCTAGATCTGCCCTAAATAGGAAATGGGGCAATGGTTGGCTCAGAAGGTAGAAAAACATAAGCGGGGATCTGCAACTTTGGAGGCACAACTAGGTTCACGTCTGCGCTCCTCCACTTATAAGACGCGTGACAATGGGCAATTCATTTACTCTTCCTGAGCCTCCGTTTTCCCTTCTTCAAAAGGGGGGGGAAAAGACTATCCTACCGTTAGCGAGAGGACTTAATGAGATCATGCACGTAAAGTGCTTAACACAGTGCCTGGCACACAGTAAGCGCTGAACGCGGGGAAGCTGTTACAGTTATGTTTGGAATAAGTTATGTTTGGAACCAAGGAAGGGTTACAATGAAGACAATTCTAAGTGCAGAAGTACTGTAATACAGAACTTCTGGATAGGTAGGCGCATGCGCCTGTCGGCGGTCCTCGGCTAGCGCGGACGTTGCGCATGCGCCGGAAGTTGCAGCCGGGAAGCCAGCGAGGTCGGTTCCGCCCGACTCTAACATGGCGGCGCCCTTTGTCTGTTCTGAAGTGCCGTCCTCGGCCTTCTCGCGGCCGTGATGCACCTCCCTTTACGGTGGGGTCCGGGACATGGCAGGTGAGGGTCAGCAAGCGCCCGGGGCTGGCCGAGTCTCGGGAGCCGGGCGGAGGCGGCGAAAGATGGGGCGCGGCGGGACGCCGGGGACGGTTGTGTGGGGGAGGGGAGGGAAGTGGAATGAGAAGGGAACCCGGACTGAGGGGACCCCGCGGGGTAGGAGGGTGCGGGGCAGCTGGGGTGGGGGGCACCTCCAGGCGAGCGGGCGCGGAAGGGGCGAGCGGACCGGCAGTTCCTGCGAGGGAGCGCGGGTCGCCTCCCGGGTTGGGTGACACCCCAGCTGGTAGCATCTCCGCCCCCGCCGCCCGGCTGTCACTGTCCCTTGACCCCGCGCGCCGCGCGGGGTCGTTCTGCGGCCGCTGGCTGGCGGGGTGCCGGGGCAGCTCACGTCGGCGGGTCGGGGCCGGAGGGCACGGGCCTGCCAGGACCAGGAGGTGCTTGCAGAGCGGGAGGTCGACACTGCCCCTGTATAAGATTATTTCATTCATTCATTCCTTCCGCAGACGGTGGCCCGGCATCTGATAGGTTGTGAGGACAGAGCAGGTGAACCGGACAGACTTGCTCCTGGTGTAGTGGTTGGAAGTGTGAACTGTGGAGCCAGGCGGCCGGGGTTTGAATCCCGACTCTCTGCTTGCCCGCTGTGTTCTGAAGCACGTTAGGTTCTCGCTCTGTCTCAGTTTCCTCAAACTTAAAGCAGAGATAATAATAAAACCTGCCTCCTAAGGTTGTTCTAAAGATTTAATAAGGTGATAGGTGCAAAGTGCCAAGAACATTTCCTGGCACAAAGTAAATACTGTGTGTGTTTGTTGCTGCGATTATTTGTTTCATGAGACTCATGTGGGAGCCATAGAGATAAACAGCACCTCTGATACTGCTGTAATGGAAGAAAACCAGAAAAGTTCTCCTTGCTCTGGAAAGAATAGAGGCACCGAGGCACCTCACTCGGTCTAGGCGAATCCAGGGAGGCTTCTGCCCCCCAAGAAGCAGAGACCTAAAGGATGCTTAGGAGAGTGGAGGCAAGAAAAGGGGGGAGTATTCTCAGTTGAAGATGGAGTTTGTGAGAAAGCTTAGGGGCTAGTGTAATAATTAATTTTTCTGCCTAGAGACAGAGCTAAGAGATAAGACTGAAGAAGCTGGCTGTGGTCTGGTCCTACGGGGCCTTGTAAACCTAGTTAAGGACTTGAAGTTTTAGGTTAATGGGAAGCCATTTAAGAATCAGATTTGTGGATTAGAACAATCACCTGGCTAAATCTGTTTGAAGAGGCTGCTAGAATAATCCAGGTGAGAAATGAGGGTGGCCTCGAGTCAGGTTAGAGGCACAGGGTGGGGAGGGAGGTTTTGGAGAATTGACAAAACTTGGTGATTACTTAGATGAGGAAGTTAGAGGCAGAGAGGTGTCAGGATTGACCTCCTCTTCTTGACCGGCAGGTGGTGATGCCACACAGTGAGATAGGGAACAGGATGGAGAGCGGATGCGAGAAGGGAAGATACATTTAGTTTCGAATATGTGGAAAGTGGGTGCCTGTAAAACAGTCCAGTGGAACTGTCCAGTGGTGAGCTAGCAGTTGTCATCCAGCAAAAGTCCCTAAAGTTGTGGGAGGGGGTGTGCTCACCGAGGGCAAGGGTATGAAATGAGAACAAGAGCGTCTGAGACACCCCGGGGGAAATGCTAATGCTGTAGAAACACGGGAACCTGGGCACAGTCTTGTTGCTCTTGCTTTTCAACATTGTGTTATGTCTTTTGGTAAGCAGGTATTCCTGAGTGTAGGAACCAGGAGCGGGTTTACTCATCTTTGTGTCCCAGCTGTCCAGCATGGTGTCTGGCATGCAGCAGGCCAATAATGATCCAAACAGACTTGTACTGAGCGCTTACATTGTGCCAGGCTCTGTGCTCAGGGCTCTGGATTTGCCTATGTTTCTTGGATGCATAAAAGGGCAACTCTTAGGGAGCAGGTGCTTTTCGGGTTCTCATCAGATTTTCCACTTGGGTGTCTTTGATTCAGGTAATGAGCTGGAGGAGGAGAGCCAAGCTGGAGTTTACGCAGACAAACTGTCAGAAAAGAGTAGCCTGGGCTACTTGGAAATCTGAGGTATGTCTGTAATGCTCAAGGATGAAACAAACCAGGAGGTCAGTTTGTTTGTCCTTCTTCTCTAGGCTCAGCGTGACTCAAATCACCCTTTCAAGATAGCTTTTTCTTTCAAGTTATACAGTAATGACAACATCTGAGTTTGGTTGGGAAATTGTGGCTATCATTTATGCTTGGTTTACCAACAAAGACCGGACTAGGTTAATCACTGGGCAAATGCTCACACCTTGTTTTAATCAAGTACAACCTAACATGCTCCAAAGCAATTCCAAACTACAGTGGCTGAAACAAGCTCAAAGTGTATTCCTCCCCTCTTATTAAACGTCTAGAAGTGGGCATTCCAGAGCTGGTAGGGCATCCTGCTCTGTTCTGTGAAGTATCCAGGAACAGTTCTAGTGATCATGTGGCTCTCTTTGCTCAAACCCAGGCTTCCATCTCATGGTCGAAGCTGGCTGCTGCAGCTCCTGCCATTGTATATACACTCCGTCTGGCAGAAAGGGAAAGACAGAGTGGGGAGCACATGTTCATTCCTTTTAAGGTTCTAATGTTTAAAGATACATATTTTTGTACAACATGTCCCCAAACATAAGCATCTGGTGTACAACCAAAGAGCGAATCATGACTGTTCCAGTGCTGGAGGGAAAGCTGGCTGAGAGAGCCTGCTTGGTCCCTCGTGTGACTGAATTGCTGTCCCCGAGGCTTGGGCCTCGGAGAAGGGAAGTCCACTGCATTGGTGGAAGAGGCAGGCTGCTCTGGCTTTGGGTAGGTTGATGTTGCTTGGGCCCAGGGAGTCCAGGCTTGTTTATGCATTCAGTGTTTTCTGTGTCCAGCGTGTCAGACACTGTGCTAGGGGTGTAAGACTGGATCCCGGGAGCAAGGAGCTCTTAGCTATGTGGATGATCACGATACAGTACAAGGAGCACCACGGGGGAGGCGCACAGGAGAAGGATGACTGATGTTGGAAGGCTCTACCGAAGTGGGGAGATTAAGAGTGAACAGCGTGCTTGGATTGACATCTGTGCAGGTCTCCTCAGATAGAGGCAGCGAAGACTCTGATGCCGGGTGTGAATCCCTGCTTCCCTGTGTCGTGGCTCTCTGAGGGCCAGTTACTTCACCGCCGTGCCTCCGTTTCCTCATCTGTCAAATAGGGATAACGGTATCTAGCTCCCAGAATTGTTTAGAGAGATCAAGCGTGTACTTCATGGGGTTTGCCGCGTAAAGCGGAGTGACCTCCTGCTGCAAGGTGCGGGGTGGTTCGAAGCCAGAGAGGCTAGTGAGGACTGCAGTCAAAGAAGGCCGAAACCTGTAGGGAAACCAGGTTGCGGCCTCCCTCAAGGCAGGAAGTATCCAGATTGTGCAGAGGGGGTCAGCGACTGCGCTGTGAGTTCTACCAAGCTCTCTACTGAAAGGTGTCCATCTGTGGATTCTCAGAGACCATACTCTAACGGGTCTGGTGAGGGGTCCTTTGGGAAGGGAAGGATTCCCTCTGTCTAATTCCCGCAAGCTCAAAAGCTTCTGGAAAGCCTTCTCTGGGCCCTGCCCAGCCACCCACCCCCCGCTGAGTTTGGAGCTCCTTCTCCGTTGATCTCTTAGCATCCAGCACTGATCTCTCAGTGCATTCGTATCTCACATTATAATCCTGGGTTTCTTTGTCTCCTTGTTGGCCCCCAGCACCTTGCAGGTAGGGACAGGGGATCGTTTCTCCTGGTAGCCCCACTGTGTAGCTCCTGTCCTGGCACGTAGCTGGTGCTCAGTAAATGTTGTTGGAGGGCGGATGATCAGCCCTGATTGGCTGAAGAGGAACTGGCAAGCTGGCCAGAACTCCAGTGTGATGTGGGGTGGCGCGCTATCGACTTAAGAGAGGAGAACCTGATGGTTGATTTGGTATCTGGTTGGACTATGGACGTAAACATGGTGAACTGTAGTATGACCTGAACGATGAGAGTTTAGGTCAGAAGATAGTTTCTCTGTCTTTCTTTTTCCAGTAGAGCATGGTTTCTCAGCCTTGACGTTATTGTTATTTGGGCCTGCATAAATCTTTGTTGTGGGCTGTCCTGTGCACTCCAGGATGATTATGGCACCCCTGGCCTCCACCCATAGATGCCCATAATACCCACCCACCTGCAGCTGTGATCGTGGAACATGTCTCCAGACATTGCCAAACGTCTCCTGGGACAGATCGTCCCCAGCTGGAACCCACATATAGGGTACTTCTAAGTCAGGCATCCCTGGGCTCGTAGTAGTTCTTATACTTATTAGATGTGTCCCTTTGGGCAAAATACTTGGTCTCTCCAAGCCTCAGTTTTCTCAGTTGCAAAGTGGGGATACGGATGACCTCACACAGTTTTATTGGCCAGAATTATCGATGAGGTAATGCATGTAAAATGCTTATTCGAGTCCCTGACTCCATCATTGGTAACTGGTGTTATTACGTGTTAGGAGAAGAGGACCCTTGAGAGGGTCAAGAAAGAAAGTGTGCAGAGGAAGAAAAAAAATGTTTGGTAGAGGAATATGCACAAGGCGCACAAATCAGAAGGTTCTAAAGAATGCGCCATGGAGGGGCACCTAGGTGGCGCAGCCCGTTAAACATCTGACTCTTGTTTTCGGCTCAGGTCATGATCTCAGGGTCGTGGGATCGAGCCCTGTGTCAGGCTCCACGCTCCCCGCTCAATGCAGAGTCTGCTTGAAGATTCTCTCTCCCTGTCCCTCTACCCCTCCCACTCATCCTCTCTCCCTCTAAAGTAAACAAATAAATCTTAAAAAAAAAAAAAAAAAGGAATGCACCATGGAGAGTAAATCATGCTTCAGTGCCTGACCCAGTTCCCCTTCCAGATAAATGTTAATAGTATCTGTGGGTCCTTTCAGAGCTATTCCGTGCATCTGTATGTCTCTGTGTATGCCCAGGGAAGACCATTT